AAAAAAATGGAGTACAAATGTATTAAAAATGACGATAAAAACAAAAAAATGTATTTGCAGTTAAAAATACCTAAAAGTGCAAAATAAAATTAGTATAATCTAAATCAAGGGAGCATGAAACAAAGGGTTGTATAAGATAGTATTACACATTAAATCACAGGAAAAAAATGTAAAAATCATCAACTATATATATACTATATATAGGTACTAACTTTATTAATAATTTAATATTTTATTCATTAATTTCATTATGTCACTACATCTTAAATCAAACTATAATTTTTAATTCAATTAAGGCTCGTAGTAGCACACAATATGCTGAAACATTTAATCTGAATAAATAAAGAATACTTATAGTTTTACAGGTATAGTGAGGGGGTCCAAAAATATAATTATTTTAAAGTAGCTAGCAAATTTAATTATTATTTTATAGATAGATAAATGTCAATATCGTAATTATAATGTAAAACTGAATAACGGTTTAAAGTATTATGTAAAAAAAAGCTAAAAGGTATGTACAAGATTATAAATTGAAATCTAAGCAATGTTTTGTATAGCTTAAATGTTGTATTACTTTTTTTGTTAAACTAACACACGTAGTGGACATTGAGAGAAGCAACTGCATTAAGTCTTCGTTCTGATGTTGAATTTCTTAAATCAGTCTACGAATCAATTATTCAATTTTGTCAAACATTAATATTTTATAAAGATAAAACATGGTTCAAGGGTGAGTCCGGACCAGGCGAACCCTCCAGGGCTGGAGGAAACTGTTGAGGGCCTCGGGGCTGATCGGTTCTAGGCCCTCTTTACTTGCATCTGCCGGCCGAGACATGCGTAATATTTGTACGTTCTTCAGTACAATAAAAATACTGTACAAAAGGCTGAGACAACGGACCCTGAGTCTCTAGCCCTCTCTGCCCCATCGTTACGCCATTCCTGGGACCTCCCCCCCTAATTGCGCCCCTAACTTATATAACATGAACCAAAAATACTACGATAATAGAAATATCAAGTTTAGTATAAATATAAAAATATTGAAATATTAAACTCAGTGGCTAAAGTGGGGAAAATATTGTGGGGGGACGATATTCATAGAAAATTGAGGAGCGTTCTCCTTCCTAATTTTAAATCTTACCAACCTTTTTTAGGAAACCCATGAGGTCTAAGCCTCTTTTGTTACTAAATAAAACTATATTGATTAAATATATTTATATACTATATACAATTTTTTTCTTTTTGAGTTGAGACTGAATTAGAATGAGCAATTGATAATAAATATAGAATAAAAATTTAATGTGGAAATATTTGAATTTTATGACATTCGTTTAAACCAATTATTTGAAAAAAATTGTAACTAAAAAATAAAATATAACATTAAAATGTAAGTAATTTTTCATAAGAAAAGAGCATGACATTTATAGGTAAATTTTTATTATAGTTTTAAGTATTTGGTTGGGTATCTGAGTAAATGCAAGTAAATATTATTAACGAATAATTAAATAGTTAATATTTTATTTATTTTTAAATATAAGCAATATGTTTTATTTCTATATTAATTACCAACGAATAGTACATACACTTATAATAAATCTTTAACAAATTCAATTTTGAAGCTATTAACCGTCCATTCTTGGACAAGGATCTGGAGCCTTTATACCTTTGAAACCATCTAAAATGTCATAAAATGGAGCAAACGGACGACCACATCCACATTTACCAAGAGGATCAGCATAATCGACATACGCCGCAATAAAACCACATCCATTTTTCCTGAAAAATTGTCCCTGAAATTATGCATATTTCATCAATCAAAAAAAAAGTCAAATTGCATTAATATGTATAAAACATTACTTTTTGGTAAAATGATAATGTATTGTCTTTACATAAATTACGTGCTGCACTTGAATTGGTACAAATCTATAAATATATAAGATAAACATCACTTAGTTAATGATTATACGGATAATGTATAAATATGTTATTTTTACACGGAAAAACTCATTCGAAATTTTACACGTTATATATTATAAGCTATGAAAACAAGAATAAATGAAAATCTATAGATTTAAGAGGAACATAAGAATTACGATATCTATAATTCTACTAAAAGTATTTTAATAAATGCTATTGATAAATGTATATAGCTCGTGTGTAGCACTTTCAAAAAAGATGAAGGCTAATCAATATAGAATTATACGTTATAACCTGTTGATATGTTGTATTCCATGGCATAAAACTTGTTTCCGTGTTTGTGGGATATAAATTAGTAGAGAAATATAATTTTCTTGATGGAAAGCCATGTTTCTTTAATACTTGATTTAGTTTAGTCTAGAAAAAATCAATGCATTTAAATATTTAATCCAGTGTTTATACTAATTTATTACAAATCATATTAGATATGTATCATAGATCATATTAGATCATAGTAAATATATAATATATATTTTAAATACCAATGTGTATTTTCCATTTCCATCTACTGGAGTAATGCTGTTGATTCTGGAGTTAAGTGAACAGTTATTGAACCTGAGTATACTAATTGAAAAGAAATCCACTACTTCTCTTAAAACTTTGATGTCCAACCCTTAAAATATTAAACGAAGTTAAAAAAATTAATTTTCTGTAGAATGAGAATCATTATACAAATTATTGTATAATACGTGTAAGCCGATCATTAATTAAATAATACAGTATACATAAGCACGTTATTCTTCATCGTATTTTAGAGTGCGTAAAAAAATGATAATTCAACTCTCACACTCAATTTTCGGATCTGCATAGTAGTCTGTTATGGTATTTCCATAAAAGACAATGCCAACTTCCAAGTTCGGAAATGATTCCTTCATTATATTAATGTATGTCTTTAGTTTTTCGGTATATTTAGGGAATGGTTTTGAATTTTCCTACAAAAAAAATGTGTTATGTTCATTAAACTTAAATTAAAATCAGTAATTAATAGTTTTTCGCCATTAAAGTCATCAAGAAATAAGTTTATTTTTCTTTCTATAGTATTATGTTACAGATATACTTGTATGTAAATAAAAACTAAATAAAACTATACATTCAAATTTTATTAAATTATTTGCATGAATTTGAAAAAGAGACTACATTTTTTTAGAAATCCCTAAACAAATATACTTAGTTGATATTTGTTTTAAATCGAAGTCACGTTATCGGAAACGAATTAACTTGTCACTTGATACATCTTATTGGTATTCTGTTACTGATAGATACTTAATATTAATTGACTCTGTAATCCGTAAGACTAATCTGTTTCAATCATTCACAACTTGATACCTAACATTTATCAAGTATTAGTCAATGATTTTATGAAATAAACAATATGCAATACGTTTTTTTTTTTTTTTTTTTAATAACCAACTTAGCAATGTTATTTAGGTATCTCAAAATAGATTAATATCTATATCTAAATAATAAGTGTTATATATTTAAATACGAAAAGAGGAACGTTAATTCCTTAAATAGATCACTTCGATAAATGTATTAATATTAGTAAACGTCTTAACATTTTAACATTCACTAGTGCTTATTCTTTAAAAATTATATACAGACTGTTTAATTTTAAAAACATAAAAATAAAAATAGAATTATAAGAGTACACGTATAAATTATTACAAATAGAAACTTACATCTGGCTCAAATTGACAAAGAATTAATCCTTTAATTCCCGGATGAACATTCATATAAGCCTTTAACCCTTTCATTGACTCACGAATGGCTATATATCCATCACAATCGCCACACCCGAGAACGTAAGTCCAAATTTCCATATTTGTATACCCATAATACACGTACACGGGTTTACTACTTTTTAAAAGTAGATCCACTTCATTTGCTATGTAAAATAAAAAAAAATGATATTATGTAGTGACGTAAACAATGCACCGCGAATCGTCCAAGTTGTTTACAATATTGTCAGTGGATAAGGGGAAATCCCATGTTCTAGAATATGCGATGATTATCTCGTTAAGTTAATTTCGAGAATGTTCTAGACAATCGACGCCGATATATATATACCGGCTGGTCAGACGTTCATTCAATCAGTCCGTGAGTACAATCCGCGACGCACCGTGAATTATACTAATTATATTACACTCCGCGATATATTCGACAATTCCTCCGCAATTATAACGCGTATCGATATTTGTACATACATATTTTTATAATATAGCGTCTATTTAAATTAAATTAAATTGTGAGTGATTTTTATTACTTAAATCCCACAATTATGAAAATTTAAAACTATTTGTATTAAAAATTATGATTAGTTCCTACAGAATCTCTTGAATGTTAACGGTATAAATTGATCAATCATTTCTACCGAGCCATTATCATTTGTACCATTGATTAAATAAATTAAGTATACTTATCAATGTTTGTACGTTTAATTACCCTTTGATGCATCTTCGAACCCATATTGGACATTGTTCCTAACATCTGCAAACAACCCGTCCCAAACAAAAGATGTGCACTCTTGTGGTAGTTTACTAACTGGTAATATTGATCCATTGCTTGAAGCATAATAATTACACGCCGATATTCCAGGACCTATAAAAATAAAAATTAATTGAACTAAGTTTATGTTGATTTTAAGTTCCATGGCTTGATTTAATAGGACTTTATTATAAATTCTTATAATTAGCAGAAATAGTTTTAGTTAAACATTGTCTCGAAAACTAAAAGCATACATTATTATAAACATTTAAATTTGGAAAAACGTATTTTTATCTCAAATCTACTTAAATTAGAGATTGACCTTTTTGTTGTGATTGTTCATTTGAAAGGCAAGTTGATGTTAAAAATAAAACAAGGATTAATGTTCTAATAACAGCAAATTGTACAGCATTCATTTTAATTTATTAGATGAAATACGTATAAAACCAGACTATTGTAAATCTATTCAATGTCTTGTATAAACTAATATGTATACACTCCGAGTTAACAATTTTAAAATGAACTAGTATAACCAGATTTTTGTTTATTGTAATGTTATCGTTTAGACATTAGAAATTATTTATCTGATTGCAATGTTTATACATGTTTTACATCTGCTGTACACCTAAACATGCATATCGCGTAATGTATACATACATAGGTAATATTTATTAATGAAGGGCAGGTAATTATTTGTTTTTATTCTCTCATTAGAACGTTTTAAATTTGGTATTTTTTTAATAAATGTTAAAATATTATATATTCATTTAATGGAAGGATTCTAAAAATTGTTTTCCACTCAAATATACTGTGCATCCACAAGGCCCATTTTTTTCATAACAATATGTAAACTATCTATAAAAAAAATCAAGGCTTCGCATCCGAATATTTTTTTCGGGTTTCAGGTTTCGGGTGTTCAAACACTACAATACAACATTTAAGCCGGGTTCACACTACACAGTGCTGTGTCGTGTCTTATAAAATAATTATCTCTGATTGGTTGAACTATATTGTTACATCAAGGTATACCGTATAATTTTTTTTTTTTTTTTTTTATAGCATTATAGGCCATTTAGGCCCTTTGCTGCCAATATCAAATTCTTCCACTCTTCTCTATTATATGCATGCTTTAGGTCTCCATGCCAATCTGATCTTAACTCCTGGATATCTCTTTTGACTACTGTTGCGTATATTAAAAAAAGGCAATAATTCACATACGCCGATTTATTATAAATATAATTTTACTGTTTTAACGAGGTTCGAGGCGGCCGTGATGCCTGCACGAAATCGCGATCGGCATTAGTATACTATATTATGTTAATTTACAATTGAGGCATATCACCGATGATACGCCGTAATCGAAATAATAATAATAATAATAATAATCGAGATTACGCACGCGACATACCGCCCGCCTTGAAATATTAAAT